GTGTGTTATATTAAATATAATAATGATCAGATTCATGCTCATAGCGCTCATGGAATAATTTCATCCATATTGTTTATCAAATATTAAACAAGGATAAACAAGGATAAATGATGCTTATGAGTGTCATAAACGTGAATTAGACCACAATCTATGTTTAATATAAAATTATAAAAATAATGCAAAAAATATGCATACTTTTGGTAGCACGATACCATCTTTTACAAACAAGCTTGCATTCCTGTAGATCTTTGTAAGGTGGTATTAAGCTTAGAATATACTCCAATAATTCATCAGGTAGATCGTTGATTTTACATTGCATTTTGCACCCACTAACTTTTATGAACGTACTACAAAAATTGACTACACCTTGTACGAAAGTTTCAAAATCGAGATGTCCTCATTATCCACCAGATAAAAAAAATTATTTCTTAAAAATATTTTTAAAAAAATACAACTGCACAGATTTTTTACAAGAGTATGTTTGCATCTTCTTTGTACATAATAATTTTAATTTCACAGAACCTATGATGGTTTATAATTCATAAGATCTATAACGATTTATAATTCAGGATAAATATATGTAACTCAAATTGGAAGAAAAAAAGCACAATACGCTCAAAATAATTCTTTATTACACTGTTTTTCCGTCAATTGTCATGTATAATGTTGGAGATGAGCTGCCTTTTCGCGCATATATACTATGGCTGCGTTCCGAGATTCACTGTCAGTATTGGAAATCTAAGGTGCGTTCCTTTATTCACTCCAAGTACTCATGCTTGACGTAATGAAAGTGTACTGCGACTATCGTTCCGTTTTAAGGCCATTGCACGTGAAAAAATTTTAATCGTAATTGTAAGATTATAAACAAATTGATCAATCAGAATCAATTATTCTCCTTACCGTTTAAAAATAATCGATTGTAGTTGGTCAATTCGCTCATGACCTTACAATTACCACTAAAATTTTTTCACATGCAATGGCCTTTAGTTTTGTGCGCTTTCTAAGGCCTGTTCTACAATGTGTCGTGTGTCGGTGATTCATTTTCTTATGCGTAATGCATTATGTGCGTAAGTATCGGTCCACAATAGATGATTTAAGCTTTAAGAAGTAAGAAATTGACCAATATATAATCGAATATGAAAAGAATAATCGATTGGTCAATTTATTACGATTTAAAGATTAAATACTTATTGTGGACCGACACTAATGCATTCATTTTCTTATGCGTAATGCATTATGTGTTATGTCAAAGTGTGCGCCGGCGCTTAGGCTGATTACACACAGGACGCGGCAACACGGTGGCTGAACAATCTTACGTCACAGTATAAATGTATACTAAGACGTAAGATTGTTAAGCATAAGAAATGAAAATAATTCATTTAAATAGGTTTTTACAACCACGTCTTACAGCTTTATAGCCTTATGTTATGTCATTGTAGACTAGGCTTAAGAATTGATTATAAATACCGGCCTTAGTTTCGTTTCACTAAAGGTGAATTACCACTGAGCGCGTCACTAATTGACCAATCAAAACATTTTATTGTATTATTTGCGATGTTTTGATTGGTCAATTCGTGACGCGCGGATGACGCGACGCGTGACGCGCTCAGTAGGAATTCACCTTGAGGCTGGTTCCCCATGCAGTATAACTTGCGTAAACATAAGCTGCGTCCATTATGACGCGACGCGAGGTAAACTTAAGGATAGCGTCATTCCTATTCACATTGAATATGTCGCCGCCGCCGCATCGCCGTAAATCAACGCAACACATGAGCGAGCACTAATCTAATATCAAAGTAAAATTGTATATAAACATAACTTCTCTCTGTGTATATATTGATTGGTTAATTCGTGAAGCGACAGATGATGCGACGCGTGACGCGCTCAGTGAGAAACCCTGTCTCAGCTGCTCTACACAACTCCGTCTAGACTCTTATTAAACGATTTGATTGGTTGACGCAATGCATTACGTTATGCAAGTCACGCTGCATGGGAACCACCCTAAAGAAGCAAATTCTTACAATCGCGCTTTAATCCCGGTCTACAATAAGTGATTCAAGCTATAAGAAATTGATCAATCATAATCGATTATTCTCTTATTCTTCGACGGAACTTATGCAAAATAATGTGTCTCTGCCTTTAATATTTTTATATTTATGATTGTCCATAGTATTGAAAATTCGAAAATGATTCGAAAATAGGTTATATTTAGTCTATATTTTTCTAAGAGAAGGAGAAAGAGAGAGAGAGAGAGAGCAACGACTCTAAACTGAATAAAACTTTTTAAAATTTCCCTTGACAAAATGTCAATGCTATTTCAAAGGATTGTTAGTAAATTGCAAGGACTTAAGCCTATTTGTCTACTTAAATATTGCACAACCGTAGAAAATCAAAGAAAAATTGAAGATATCGTTCCGCTTATATCTAAGATACAGTACAATGACGAGAAGAATTTTTATCAAAAACCTCGACAAGTATGGCTAGAGAATTTGAATACAATAGAAGAAAAGAAATTAGGTTTGATTACTTTACATCCACATATTTATGCGGCTGCACCTCGTATCGATATCATTCATCAGAATGTGAGATGGCAAAGAATGTATCGCTGGGTTGTAAGTATTAAAACAATATTTGCAAATCAGAGATATAAAGGAATTATATTGTAAGGATATTAGTTTATATATATATATATATATATATTTTTTTTTTATAGTCTTACGCACATACAAAAACACGTGCCGAAGTTAGAGGTGGTGGTAAAAAACCTTGGCCACAGAAAGGACTGGGAAAAGCTCGTCATGGAAGTATACGTTCACCATTATGGAGAGGTGGTGGAGTAGCTCATGGTCCTCGTTCTCCAACGCCACATTTTTACATGTTGCCATTTCATATCCGTATAGCAGGTCTTATGGCAACATTATCTATAAAACTTGCGCAAGATGACTTGCATATAATTGATGAATTGGAAATTCCATCGTCAGAATCTTCGTATATAGAGCAATTAATCGAGGAGAGGAATTGGGGACCATCTGTTCTTTTTATAGATAGCTATGATATTATGCCTACAAATATTACACTTGCAACTGATCAAATTAAGCATGTCAATCTAATGCCTATATATGGTAAGTAAGTTTGTTATCATGTATCATGTATATGATTTTATATATTATACAAATCCTTAGTACAATATCTAATAACATAAACCTTATAACATAAAAATTATTTATAGATTTGATTATCGAATAAATGAATGATAGATTTACTCAGCAGCTTAATCTAAATATATATAAATTATTTATTCTGAAATTCCATTATATTGTCCAAATATAATTAATTTGTACAAATTTTAATGAGAATAAGAAGTTTATATGTGTTTACTTTTTCAAAGTATCAAAATACTACTAAATCAATTAAAGTTCGATACAAATTAACTTGAATTAATACATTAATAAAAGTTATCTTAATGAGTAACACAATCAATATGTTGTATATAGATCTATTATTTCTTTTTATATATAGGTCTGAATGTATATAGTATGCTGAAACACAATACTCTAGTACTTACAGAAAAGGCAGCCAGATTAATAGAAGAGAAATTACTCTATCATTTACACAGAGCTGACAACTATAAATCTAATTCATTCAAACTGAATCAGGAATGAAGTCCAATGATTTTCAGTGGAGTT